CCTTTGTAGGGACATGGATGAACCTGGAAACCATCATTCTCAGTAAACTGACACAGGAGCAGAAAATCAAACACCGCATGTTCTCACTCATAGGCGGGTGTTGAACAATGAGAACACATGGACACAGGGAGGGGAGCACTACACACTGGGGTCTGTTGGGGGGAAATGGGGGAGGGACGGGGGGGTGGGGAGGTGGGGAGAGATAGCATGCGGAGAAATGCCAGATATAGGTGAAGGGGAGGAAGGCAGCAAATCACACTGCCATGTGTGTACCTATGCAACAATCTTGCATGTTCTTCACATGTACCCCCAAACCTAAAATGCAATAAAATAAATAGGAAAAAAAAAATAAAAAAAAATAAAAAAAAAGAATTTACTTTTTAAAGCAACCTTTAAAGCATCTCCTTCCTTAAACAAACACTATAAATGCAACGTGCCAACTGAAGACAGTTACAGTTATTTCTCAGTCTCCCTTACAGGGAAGGAAGGCTAAAGAGATGCAAGCAGAAGTCACTTGGTCTTCTGGGGAAGCTTTTCAAGTGACATTTACTCAGGTGGCTGATCTCCTTCATTCTCCTCATTCCCTGCTTCTTTCTTCCTGTTATCGGATGTTGTAGCTGGTGCTGCAGTGACCCTATTGTACCATGAGGTAGCCATGAGGGAGGCAGAGTAGAAAGCTAAGCGGAACCTGGGAAACTGACATCATGACATCACCAAACTGGCCTGGGTCTGTCTGCCCGTAATTTTTTTTTTTTTTTTTGAAACAGGGTCTCATTCTGTCACCCAGGCTGGAGAGCAGTGGTGTGATTACGACTCACTGCAGCCTTCACCTCCCGGGATCAAGTGATCCTCCTACCTCAGCCTCCCAGGTAGCTGGGACCACAGGCACATGACGCCATGCCTGGATAATTTTTGTATTTTTTTTTCTTTTTGTAGTGACAGGGTTTCACCATGTTTCCCAGGTTGGCCTTGAACTCCTGGGCTCAAGCAGTCTTCCCACTTTCGCCCACTGGGATTACACACATAAGCCTCCTCACCCAGCCTTCATTTCCAAACTTTTAAGTGAGAGAAAGTTTACCTCCATCTTGTTCAACAGTGTTATTTCTAGTCTTTATTATCTGTGATCAATCATAACTCCTCTTTCATACAGATTTTAAAAATAGATAAAAAGATCTATCTCTCTGGAGATGGAAAGTCATGTAAAATAAAATTTTAAAACCCCATATATTCCCAATAACCATGTATTCTTATGAATTTCAAAATGTCCTAAGGTACGAAGAAATTTACAAGGGACTACATCTTCTTGGAGAGCTTTCTAGACATCCCCAATTCCAAATGATCACCATTTCTATTCTGGAATGACAACCTTGATCTTCATCTCTAAAATCTGCTTCAACGTCAAGATCGTAAGCCCCGTGTTTCCCCTCTGTTTCTAGGGCATCTTGTTTTTCTGCCTCTTCCATATCCTAGAGGCCACTACACCTGAGCCGGTGCTCTTCAGGAGCTCTCCTCTCCCCAGCAGGTTTCTCTTGGCCTCTCTTGCTTTTTCCCCAGTCCTGATCTCATAGTGATGCATTTTACAGAGTCTGCCACCTCTCCTGCAGAACTGCTTCTCCCCTAGAACTCTGGGGTCCTGACCATATATTCTGAAGTGCTTGGGCAGATTCACAGATCACTTAGAAGGAAAGAGCAGCCTTTCAACATGGACGGGAGGTGGCCCTTTGGATCAGAATGTCATTTGGCCTCTGACATTTTGGAAACATCATGGTCATCACAGTATCTTGCTCATCACAAGATTCTTCTTCATCATTGCCTTCCTTCCACCATCCTCATCTCTACACTTCAGAGAATAATGAGCAACAGGCACTATCCAGGTGCTTTTAGTCATCAGCTCATTCACAAGGACCTAATGAGGGAGACTCTGCAATCAGCCCGTTAAAGGTGAAGAGACTGGGACGTGGAGCAGTTACCATGCTCACACCACATGGCTGGTCAGTGGGATGTGAACCCAGTTCTGGCTCCAGTGCCCTCTCCTTATTTCCCCATCACACCACCTCCAGTAGTGTCGCTACCCAAAGGATATGAATCCCTTTCAACAACAAACAACATCAGCCTTTCAGGAGCATGTTAGAAAGTTTAACCATGAATTTATCAAACACCGGACAAAGAGTCCTTTGGGACATTTAACATCCAAATGAGGGTCTAGTGTATTTGTTATCACTTCTTCTCATCTGATTACTTATCTCTCTTTATGAGTTTAGAGATCAGTTCTGCCCTTTGGGAATCTCAAGCTCGTTGTCTAATGCCCATTTGAAGACATTTTTTGTGCTTTTGCCAATATTCACAGGTGGATGCATTTTTCTTATGCTACTCAGTGTCTCTTTTTTCAAAATTTATTTTTTAAGATTGACAGATAACACTGTATGCTTTTGGTGTATCCAATATGATATTGTGAAATCAATATTATATTGCAGAATGGTAGCTAACCTTTCCAGTTCATGTTAAATTGTTCCTTAGATTCATTGACATTAAAATTCAGTGACATTAAAAACAATAGTCTCTCATTCATAGCGTTTGGTCCACAAATGAGCACACATTTCTTTTTTTCCTAAGTCACAGGAGCCAAATTCAGGGTAGCATTAAAATAACTAATTTCACATAGTTGGTAACATGGATTTATCTTCAGATTTTGGGTTTAGGTTATCCCATTTTTGTTCTCATTGTTATGTTTATATTGAATATTACAGCATGCTTTGAGTTTTTATTTTGAAATAGGTTGAAAAGAAATTCTAAAGATAAACAAAAATACCCCAATGAACATTCCATGAAACACCAGCTCAATAAGCCATATGAGACAGTCTAGAAAAAAAAAGTCCCCAGGCCAAAAAGTCTGAGAAACCCTTCAGACCATACCTAACCCTGTTAGAGAAAAACAAAGCATTTAAAAATTAATCAGAAGTCCTGCAGTTAAAGAAATCATTTAACGTAATCAGTTCAGTGTTTCCCACATCTATTTGACCCTGAAGTGTATATTTTTAATTCTTAACCCCACCCCAGTGGTATAATTTGTGGGACTAATTTCTTGGAACTGAATTAGAATTGTTTGGAACCAATTAGAAACGGTGTTCTTGAAATGCCAGTTTGGAACCATGGAAATAGTGAGCAGTCTATATTAGCAGCTAGAGGAACATTGCTATGGGAAGTCAGAGAATGGAGAAGATCAAACTCCCACGGACCTTGCTGTTTTGAGGTTGGAATCCTGAGTGCCCAAGACACCACAGGGAGAAAGGCGGACATCTACCCCCTCAGTGAGCCATGCGGGGCTACTGATATGGTTTGGTTCTGTGTCCCCAGCCAAATCTCATGTTGCATTATAATTCCCAGTGTTGTAGCTGAGGCCTGGTGGAAGGTGACTGGGTCATGGGGATGGTTTCTAATGCTTTAGCACCACCCCCCAGTGCTATCTCATGATAAAATTCTCATGAGATCTGGACGGGTAGCATTAGGAAAAATACCTAATGTAGATGACGGGGTGATGGATGCAGCAAACCACCATGGCATGTGTATATATATGTAACAAACCAGCACGTTCTTCACATGTAACCCAGAACTGAAAGTATAATAATAATAATAACAATAACAACAATGAAGTGTGTGGCACCTTCCCCTTTGCTCTCTCTCTCCCACTCCTCCATGTGAAAGTGTGCCTGCTTCCTCTTTTGCCTTCTGCCATGACTGAATGTTTCCTGAGGCCTCCCCAGCCATGCTCCCTCTACAGCCCATAGAATCATGAGCCAATTCAACCTCTTTTCTTTGTAAATTACCCAGTCTCAGGTAGTTCTTTATAGCAGTGTGAGAATGAACTAATACAGAGCCACTGGGGAGATGGGGGGTTGAGAGGATCCATCTGTCCCAAGCCACCCAGGGTAGCCTTGAGATTCCTCCAGAGAGGGGTGGGGCAACTGCAGGTCCATATATCGGTCTTTCCTCTTAACACCCTAGAGGCTGTAAGCATTGGTGGCAGATGAGGAAAGCACAGTACCACAGTTAGGAGTGCAGCTTTTGAGTCACAGAAACTTGGTTCACTTCCCATTTCTGCCACTTCCTCTGTCCATGACCTTGTGGCTTGTTCTCTAGGTTCTCTGAGCTTCACAGTAAGTTAATTTGTAAAAGGGTAAAGCCAAGCTCACACAGTGAAACCAGGAAACAGATCTCAGGTGGAGACACCATGGTGAATGCAGTAAAGACTGTAAAAGTCAGGGGCCATCGTACCTATTTCATAGACTTCACTTGGTCAGGAAGAAGGACATCAAATCCATACCCTGGCCCTGGCCCTTAAAGAAGCCATAATCTTAGCACATTTCCATCAGATGCATAGTGCAAATGGCTTCCTGATATGGGTACCAATTCAGCAACTGAATGTGATCTCATGTACTCAGCCCTTCCCCAAACATCGCTCCCTTGGAATAATGGGAAACCACAACCATGATCCATAATCATAAAAGCACAGGGGCTGAGAATAAATAATGGCTCTCCTAGACGAGCTAACTTGGTTGTTATTTATAAGCTCCTGGGCCACATTGTTATTAACTAGGAAATCTGCTTTACCTCCTTGCTGCTGTTCCGTCTGGCCTCTCAATCTGCACTTGCTGGAAAAAAATAGTTATTGTTATGCTAAAATCACAATGGGACTGTCATAACTCAGTGCTAAATAACACCAATAAAACTATGAAAATGGCACTTGGGCATTAGAAGTTATTTTCTTATGGACTTTAACAAGATTCAGTGCTTTTATTCTCACTGTGCTCCGGTATTTTAGCTTCACACACAGACACAAAATAAAAATGTGAGAAGGAATGCCAGCCAAACACTATCCTCTCTTCCACAAAGGAGTATGTTGATGTTGACATGGGAGCCAGCAGGAGCTGTGGTACACAAATTCACATCAATCAGTAATGGTAGCCGTGCCCACAACGGTGGTGTCTGGCACAGGGGTTTACCTCTTTCTTGGTGAATTTTGGTGAGTGATCATTTTTGTCGTCGATCATGATCGTGGCTGTGGCTGTGCCCGTTAATCCAACATCCAGTCCGGCCATATCTTGAGCCTCGATGATCAATTCATATTTGGGATTTTCCAGAGTCTACAAAACACAAGCACAAAAAAAGAATATGACACTTAGATTTGGGTTGCTGCTTTGGAAAGGTGGCAAATGTGTTGCTGGAGCTGTCTCCCCCTCCTCCTCCATCTAGAGCAGGCATCTTTAAGCAGCGATAACATTTTTACCTATTATGTATAAATGTGCCCTTGGAATTTCTCCAATATAAGACAGTCACTATTCAAAGATTGGAGTTTTCCATGGGGACAGAATATATTAAATTTCCTGTCCTTATTTAGGGAGACATTTGATATACTACAGAATGCTCCATTTCCTTGGTTTGGTCTACATCATATCTGTTATTTCAGAGACCTCAGGAGGCTGATCTGAAAATGAGGCTACCTTTGATGATGAGCTTAGAACAAAGATGGCAGCTTTAGGAACTCACATTTACTTGACACTCTGATGAGGCAGGTATTGCATTACTGCACTTTACAGAAATCCTTGTTAGTCTTTTCCACAAGCAGCTCAACTTGCAATTATCGTTCCCATTTTACAGATGGGGAAAAAAACTCGCTAAGGTTTAGACTCACTTATATGATACTTCTTTTATGTCTTTTTTTGTTGCACAGGCTGTTACCTTTGGAAGATGCATTTAATCTAATGATTTGATAAATGTAACACAAGCAATCTTGCATATTCTCTCTCTTTACATATGTGTTTTTCACCTGAATATTTGACAAAGATTTGGTGATCATGTTTATATAGTCAAAACAACTAATCGAATAGCCCTGATCCTAAGATGAATAAGAGTGCAGTCACTGGTAAATAACAGCCCCTACATTTAAACCATCTTTTGTAGATTTCTACTTGCCTTGGTCAATAAGCATCCCATTCATCTGGTAAGGCACCAGCCCACAATTCCTTTGCGGACCTATTCTTTACTTCTTCTCTGCTTATGTGGTTTGGGTTGGGATTGCCTTTCTCTGCCTCCTACCCATTGAACTTTTGGAATGAGCCCTAATTAGGAGAAGTCAATCAGTGGATTCCATTCCAGTGGTATAATGTGAAGTCCAGGCCCTGTGTTTGACAGGTAGGTGAAGGAAGTTCTGTTTCGCTGTGGTGTGGACCTGGTAGCATTTAGTCGGGGGAGCTACAGGAGTTATCTCATGACCACAGGAGGGATGTGCAGGAGAAACCCCCACATCCAAGAACACAGGCTATGTCCTAAGAGAATTATACTTGAATCTCAGAGAAGAAACAGTTCTCCTAGTGGTTATACTGGAGCCACTTCATCATGTCACTCCTGAAGCCAGCCCTGCCTGTGACCTTTCAGCTAATGAAAGCCATCATTTGCCTTATTAGCTTAACCCACTTTGGATAGATTTCTTAATCACTCACACAGAGAGTCTGAGTTGAACCACCTTCAGTAACAGAAATAATAGTTGTTTACAATCACATAAATAGTCCTTACCAGTACGACAGCTTCAAAAACAGGTGGTTATACCAACCAATAATTAAGAAATACCACAGGAAGCAAAGAACTAAAAAGCAAGGGAGGATGTCTAATTTTCTTTTAAGTCGTAGGTTTACATGGTAAATTTCAACAGCTCAATGCTAGTTCTCCCAAAAACTTTAGAGTATTTGAAGTGTTGTTAGCTGTCTGCTCATGGGGACACATTTCATCGGCTGTTCCTTTAACTTCTGAGCGTCTTCCTAGCTACTATTTTAAGGAGTAATAGTTCCATTGGGTGGTTTGTTAAGGCCCTCCACTGGTTTCAATTCTAGCTCCATCAGGATCTAAGGTCACAAAGTTCTCTGATTGCTGAATGCAAGTGGAATTGACAAAGTACCCAATTCCGGTTCTGGCTGGGTCAGCTGGCATTGCTCGGTGAAGGTACTTGAGGTGTCATCTGCTCTGGTTCTGCCTGGTTCAAGAATTCTGGTAATTTTGCTCCTAGCTGGTTTAGTTGGCACTTCTCGGTATAGACATTTGAAATCCCATCCATTCACAAGCTGAAGCTAGAAAACTTGAGCCTAACGGAAGTGGCTTTCTGCTTATAATCACTGACCAGCAAGATTGGATGTACTGTTGGCCATAATTTCTGCAGCAGGACCACATGAAACCAGTAAATTGGCCACCTTTAAAATCCTTCCCAAGTGTCTCTGAACATGTTAATCATTACCCTGAACATCACAGGACTAATTTCTTATATAACACTTTTACTTTTGTCATAAAACAACATATTTTTTAAAGCACACGATCAGTGACATAAAAATTATGTGGATTTTCCCCCCAATATTGAAGAGATTATGGTAAATATATTATTTTTTCCATATAATATTTACCAACATAATTCCTAGATGTTATTTTAAGGGTTGCATAAAATATAATCACATATATGTTTTATGATACACTCGTCTTCTATTATTAGGCCTTTTGGTTATTTGCAGTTTCCAAAATGTTGACAATTTTAAATAACACTGCAATTAACATCTTTATTCATGAAGGCTTATATATATTTTGGCCACTTTATTTTTATTTTTATTTTTTTTCGAATAATAGATCCCAAGAAGTGGAACTACTAGGATAAAGAATATGAATGTTTTAAGGCTTTTTATTTATATTTCAATATTTTTATCCAAGAGGATGTTACTTTTTCACCACTCCTATGAGAATGTTTAGTTTTTGATCTCAGACAGGGCTGGTCTCTAAAGGACAGCTCCTGACATTGCCAAGGGAAGCAAACTGGGAGACCAGGGTGGCTCTATGACAGTGACATGCCAAGGAGATAAAGTCCTCATTCACAGCATTCATGCTTCTCCCAACTTGCAGTACATACTGCTGTGGGGACCTGCTACAGGACTGCCTCAAGCACTAACTACAGCGGGCGTCTGCTGCTTTGCTGTCCTATATCTTCTCCCACTGCTTCTGGAACCTATGCTATCATTTCCCTGGACATCACTCCTTCCCCATCCTCAGTACAGGTGGAGTTCAGATGGGCTGACCCCACTCCCGATTTAGGGATGGTCATGTGGTTCAGGCCTGGCCTATCAGGGCTTTCCATTCCCATCACCATGCAATGAACACATAACCTAAGTTAGTCCACCCCAAGACTGAAATTCAATTCCAGGACATAGTTCTTTAGTTCTTTTAGAATTCTTAGGGAAGAGAAGTTCTCTTTCTGTTAAACTTGGAAGTGGTTAGGGCATCAATCTGGACCTAGTGGTAGCCACTGGTAACCACATAAAGTCAACCTGAGAAGGAAGTAACACAGACTAAGAGGCAGAGATGGAGTTAGTTGCTCTTGTTGTTTTAACATTTGAGCCCCTTAATGGTCATCCTTGAAGCCAGGATTTACTCCTTAGATTTTGTGAATTCTATGAGCTAATACATTTTGGCTTTCCTTAAGACACTTGATTCAGATGTTCAGTAAGTAGGAACAAGGCAGTTTCGACTAATACTGCAACTATTGTAATAACACTATGATCAATTATCTGATTAGTGAGAAAGCACAGAGCTACCACATCATACAATAGCATCAAAATAGGTTCTTCAAAACAGTATTCCAATCATTTTATGAATACATTATTTTCTTTTTTAACAGTTTCCCCTAAACAGAAACTTTTTTTTTTCCCCCAGGGAAAGTTACCATAATTCTTTATTAAAAAAACATTTATTTATTTTGAGACAGAGTCTCACTCTGTCACCAGGCTGGAGTGCAGTGATGTGATCATGGTTCACTGCAGCCTCGACTTTCCTGGCTCAAGCGATCCTCCACTTCAGCCTCCTGAGTAGCTGGGACAATAATCACACGCCACCATGTCCAGCTAATTCTTGTATTTTTTGTAGAGATGGGGGTTTCTACAAAATTTTGGTCAGTGGAATGTAGCACAAGCAAAGGACACGTTGGCATAACTCTCTTAAACAAATTTTATAAATAATTTTAGAAAATGAACTTGTCAATTTCCATCTCCTGAAGTAAATAAAACTTTGCAGCTATAATGAAAAATACATCAATTAACCTAGTAGAGAATCAATTAGACTATTAAGTAGATAAATTGCAAAGTTTGGGAAGAGGTTTCAAAAGTCTACATTTTTGGGCAAACTTAAGGCTAACCTCAAAAATATTTTTACTGCTGAAGTAATATCCAATTATTGTAAGCAACATAAAAATGATACAGTCATTTCAAAGACCGCTCCTCCACCCTTGCCCAACCGCACCTCTGAGAGGTAAATATTGATAGTTATCTCCTTTTTCCTCTACAGGTAGACACACACACAGATACACTTTAAATACTCACATATTTAATAGACACATTTATAGACACACATATTTCATCAAAGTAATGCTGTTTACATAGAATTACAATTTGTTTTACCATAAAACTTTAATCTCAGCCTTACAGAACTACTCATTTTAATAGCTGTGTAATAGTCCATTGTAAAGATCCACTATAATTTATCTAATCAATTCCTAATGGATAAACATTTGGGTTGCTTCCAAGTTTCTACCTTTTTTTTTTTTTTTTTTTTTTTTTTTTTTTTTTTTTTGAGACAGGGTCTCGCTCTGTCACCCAGGTTGGAATGCAGTGACATGATCACAGCTCACTGCAGTGTCGACCTCCCAGGATTAAGGGATCCTCCCAACTTAGTATCCCAAGTAGCTAGGACCGCAGGCGTACACCACCACACCTTGCTAGTTTTTGTATTTTTTTAAAGACAGGGTCTCCCTGTATTGCCCAGGCTGCTCTTAAACTCCTGGGCTCAAATGATCCTCCCACCTCATGCTCCCCAAGTACTGGTATTATAGGTATGAGCCATCGTGCCTTGCCCAGGTTTTCATTTTTAAAAGCAATTTTAATATAAATATTTTACTGGCCTGTTATGATTTGGGGATTTTTCTGTAATGAACATTATTGCTTTCACAAGGAGAACAGTAACAAAATCCCCAAAATGAATAATAAAAGAAACCTCCTTTGGAATGCAAAAGACCCAGTTTGCACTTAAAAATTAGAGAAAACGCCACATGAAATCCTTTGCT